TATCATCTAGCGCTTTCAGAGGAATGTCGTTAACGAGCATATCGATGAGACTGCTTGGTGAGGCTGCAACTGACAGCGACCAAACAACTCCGAACTACTGAGGCGTCGTTTTTGGTAGAAGAGCGGCAGATTTTCCGATAGTGTCCTTTTCTTCCGCAACCTTTGCTAACTGCGTCACGTTTAGGTCATTGAGACCGATTACACCTTGAACCCACACAAAAAACGTTCTTACCAGAGTGGGATAAGTCATATGTTGTTTGCAATGGTTCTGACTGACGTGAGGTAGCTGCACCGTAGATGTTTTTCTATTGCTTCGACTGTGACTAACGGTAGGCCATTTCCAGGGATTGGGCCTGCCCACAGGCAGCGTGGAGATAAAGCGGCACGTCTTCCAAGGGGCGCTGACGTATCATTTTGGACTGCAGCCCAGTTATAAAAGTATCTCAAATGGCGTCCTCGCGATTTTTCTCTGACGTTACCGTTTTGAAGTTGCAGTTTTGGGCCAGTGACTTCATCTTCTGCATGATGTCTAGGGTTTCACTGTTTTGTTACTCGCTGGTAGCAAATAGGTAACGTGCGAATATCTCATTTTTCGGCCTGGTCTTTCGAGGGCAAGTTCGTAGGTTGTTTGTGCTTTAATGTAATCGTGAACATGACGGGATACGTAATTCTCGAGAATCCTCAATTCAGTGAGCGATGGGGATCCACGGCGTCCGCTTGAACTTGAACTAGTTGTATCAAGCCAGTGGATCCACTGTTTCGCAACATTGGCATTTTTGTGATCACCCTTGTGGTGTTCCCTTCGGAACATTCAGTCAACTACTTACTGAATTATTTGCTATGCGAATAGGCGAGGCAGAAACGTGCCGGGTGCGAATGAGTATAGTCCGAGTGAATAGGTTTTATTCAGCAAGAAAATGAGGTGAGTGGCCTAAAAAGCAGTTCGGGATAAATAGCAGTATGATGTGATTGTGAGTTATGTTTTATACGTCCCGTTCCTTTGGGTTTACGCTAGATATGAGGTGAGTGGGTAGGTTTAGCTGCGGACGGCGCAGCGCAAGCCCCCCATGGTCCTAGGCACAGGCGTCCTGTGGCTGTCCCCACGGAGTCCACGGTGATAGTCAAATCCGGAACCGGCTGCCGCTAGCCCTATATGAGTTATATGTCAACCTTATGTCGTTGCAGATCTATCAGAATTTATTTACCATACCATGAAACCTTGGGCACCGAGCTCCTCCACGCTCATGCTCTTCAATCAGCTAAAGCCTGCCGCAGTACTGTGGATGCTGAGAACAGCTCCCGTTATGAGGGAGATATTGTAACATGTATGGACGGTTTTATTACGTACCGGGCAAATGTGTCGTTTCTTTCTTTTGCAGAATGGTCAGTTGCGGTTGCAGATAATGGAGGAAGCACCACAATGAAGTAATGAGCGTAACTGTGTATGTGGCCTTATACACGCACCCTGATGCTTGTTTCCTCGCCTTCTCCCTTTCTACCACATTACTTCTGTTGCGTTGTGGGTGTTGCAATAAACTTACCTGCGATTTCCTTGTCGTTCTTAATGGGTTGTTATGACAACGCCATCCAGCTATCTACATTGTATCTGTTCCTCTTCCCAGCTCCACGGCTCTGTTGCGATCTATTGTCTTTCGAAATGGCCGTACTCTCTGGCCCTGCACATACTAAAATCAGTTGACTGAGTGGAACGAACTCTTGGAATCATGGATCATCACCAATACATGTTAGCTGAGGATGAGAAACACCTCAGTTAGTGTCGAAATACCAAAATGGATAAGAGATTAATCTTTCCGGAATACGAAATCTACAAGAAGAAATGTAATGATAATTATCATAGTACGCACGGGGTATAAGATCATGGTTGGAGGGAGGTACTGGGAATAGGGCAGAGAATGAAAATCATAACAGAAACCTCATTGTGGTCGGCTCATTGCAATGCCAACAAGTGTATCCAACCTGACCTGTTCATCGTCTTTCGGACCCTAGCGCTGCAGTTAGGTGACACCAACGGACGCCAAGTCACTGCTTGGCTACCTCTCCTCTTCTTCCATCCACCCGTCGGTCACGCAAACAGCGCCCGACTCGGGAGCCGGTGTGCTGACATGCGCAAGGCGTGGGGCAGCCATCGTGACATGTTGCGTGATATGATGCTGCTGAGCGGTTCACTCGCTCTTCTTGCACCAAGTATGCGACGCCACATACTGGGGAACTGTTGCCGTTGGTCTGTAACACTATTCTATCACCTACCACGGAGTTAATGTACGATCTATACAGCGCCGTCCCTGACGGAAGCCGGCTTGCTCTTCCACAATCTGGGACTGCCGTTTCTCGCCGTGAGTTTCCTTGCCCCTCCCCATCCCTTTTAGTCCCCCTCCACCTACGATCTCATTTCATAGCGTAAAACATAATAATTTCTCTTTTTGCCTAGTATCCGGCTGGTAGCCTACCGGAACGATGCCTATCCGTTGCTGGTAGCTCAGCTGGCATGCAGCTGTTGTATTTATTTTTCTTTTCCTTTATGTATCGCGGCACAGCAGCTGAGGTGTTTCCCACTTCTGGCTGATGTGTATAATGATGATGATGAATGACTGCCGCTTCACCCTTTATCGACTGGCGGGATTTGAGATCAGTATCTTGGTCACCACCAGCTTCAGGATGGCACCTATGTGGTTAGCATACACATTGCCACTACCTTTACTATATATTGCGGCGAGCCAACTCGACCGGTTACAAAAGTACTCCATCCTATGAGCCAGCTGGCGGTCCTTATTCGAATTCACAGCACAGTGCTGTCTCCCATTGTTTGACTGACACGTAGTCCCCAGGTCATCGGTTCGAATTCGCGTAGTAGCAGGCGAGGTCGCCGTACACCAGACGCTGGCACAATTGTTGTTGATTGCATGGCAGCGAACCGGCGGTACGATGTGCCGGCGTATTGCTAATGCGTTGCGTATGTATCTGTGGCCAGTGGTGCGGATAAGCTGGCAGCGTTTACGTTGATTGCTCACTGTTCCCGTTTCTTTCGTCACTCGAGTCCTTTGGGTTCACAAGGCTTACTTGTCAACATGCAGGATTTGTTTCGGCTCGCACCCAACAGTCCCTCGAATGATTTGTGTTGGATGATAGCAGTTTTCCCAGATTCCAGCTGGTCAACCACCCTATCCAGTATCAAATGACGATTGCAGTGATCACGGATATTGCCACAAGCAGAGGTCCCACATCGTTCATGGCATCTGATATCTAGTTCCACTGAAGCTCTGCGTCTTGGGAGTAAAGCGGTAAAAGGTTCGGTACTCAGGGCATCATGACGGGCTTGTTTGGCTGAGAACTGAGATCCCGGTTGTCGATCGGGAGATGTGTCTTCTACTGCTCCCACTCGGCCGGTGGCCGAGTGGTTGGCACGTTTGCTTTCCAACCATAAGGTCACCGGTTCGAATCCGCGTAGGGGTGGGCGTCCTCGCGGTATACTCAGCCCGCGCGCTACTGGTGGTGGTCGCGCGGCAGCGAAGCGCCGTTACGGCGTATAAGCTGACACATTTCATTCATTTTTTCACCAGAACATGGTAAGAAACGAACGGTGTCTTGTTCTACCAGATGCCTTATTATTATCATATGGACTGCTCACTATACCATCACTCACTTGTCTGCATCCCTACCGCAATCGCTCTCATCCTTAGTGCAGCAGCTTGCATCCTTAGCGCAAAAACTATAGTCCGATAGTCACGAAAATTGCATCCACGACGCCCTGAGTGGTCCGCCACTATCAGCTGATATCATTCGGACAGTAGGCTGGCATATCTGACCTAGATGCAGCTTGGGGCATAGAGTCATCGGTTGATAACTTGCTACACGGACCTCAGCCATCTGCTCGTCTAGGTGCGCATCAGCATTGGACCATATAGGGGTGAAAGCAGGGCTTGTTTTCGAACTGATTACAAACCCCAAAGCCAGCAATATGATAGACGAAGTCAGCACCGTTCCAGACGAACGCAGACGTGACTGTGACTTGGTATTCAAAATGTGACACCAGTGTACACTCTGAACATCCATGCCTTACCTGTCCCTTCGCCTCAGACGGACATCTCGTTTACTCGTTCCATCCTGTGTTCCGGACATGTTCAATGCCACTGGAACTGCGCTGACATTGTCTTACCTTCACATCCCAGGCTCTGGGGTTTGGAGCCAATTCGTGAGCAAGCCCTGCTTCCAATCCCATAAGATTCAATGCTGGTGCGCACCTAGACAAGCGGATGGCTCAGTTCCATGTGGCAACGCATCAACCGACTGTTCTATGTCCCAGCATCATCTAGTTTAAGCCGCCATGTCCACATGTTTTCCGAATGCTATTAGCTGATAGTGGTGAATCACTCAGGGCATTGTGGATACAATTTTCGTGACTATCGGATTATAGTTTTTGCGCTAAGAATGCATGCTGCTGCACTACGGATGCAAGCGAATGCATTAAGGATGCAAGCGAGTTATCTGCAGATGGCGGGACCTCAGTGGTGCTGCTGTCAACTAAACTTGGGAATATAGTAGGCCGGTACCAGAGGCCAGGGTGGGTCTGAAACAAATCACGGTGGCATCAACCGTAGCGTGTTTTTCTTTAGTCGCCTTGCTGTACGCAGCAAGTAAGGCAATCCTTTTGAACGTGCCGGCCAGCTGATACAGAGCGTGGCTGTTGATTAATGATGAATTAATTTATGGAAATATATAATTAACCCCCTTTCAGTCCTTCCATATTTAGTCATCTGATACGCTGGTGATCGCTTAGTGGGTTTGCTTAGCCATCACTCCCCGACCCGGTATTCTCACTTATTCATATTCATCGTTTTAGATGTTTGTCAATCGACATGTCTAGAATTTGTATTCTCGGGTTTCTTCAATCAACTATTCGCATTACTTTCATTTTTTAAACTTTATGAAGTTTGCATCAGAGCGGGAACCTGACATTGGTCTACCTAATCGGCAAATTGTTCATGGCTGGAAGACGCTCATCGCAGCGGATGCGGCATACACCATTAGATATTGAAGATGTAGCATCTGCTGAATGGCACCCAGCAAACTGGCGCAAGCATTTGCAGAACATATGCGAAATGCGCTCGTCCCGTGATGCTCCAGTTGACACGATGGGTTGCGAGTGCCTGGCGAACAAATTAGATGATCCCAAAGTAAGTATTAACGGCTTTATCTTCCCCCATTTGTCAGAATTTCCGATTTCAGATACTTCTCAGTCTCATGCTTTCTAGCCAGACAAGAGATCAAACTACTGCTGCTGCAATGCAACGTCTGCAAACCTACGGGTGCAGTTTGGAACGAATAATGTCCATGGACCGTGGTGAACTAGAAAAACTTATTTACCCCGTCAGCTTTTACAGGGTTTGTGTGGGTACCATACTTGATTACGTGCACCGTGTTTAGCACAAGGCAAAGCATATTCTGAGCACCTGCGAGGTGCTCAAAAATAGCTATAATGGAGACATTCCGCATAGTGTACAGGACCTATGTCAACTCCCAGGTTTACTCATATTGACCTCGGTGTATCACTAGGTGTCGGTCCTAAGATGGCTCATTTGGCGATGCTGTGCGCTTGGAATGAAGTCACGGGCGTAGGCGTAGACACACATGTTCACCGGATAGCAAACCGCTTGGGTTGGACAAAACGACCCACGAAAACGCCTGAAGAGACTCGGAAGGCATTAGAAGCATGGTTACCAAGGTGGGTTTTTGTTATTATGGTGATATTTCGACAGATAATTTGAAATTATTTGAAGTTCATAACATCATTTTACTGCAGTCGAATGCTTCTGGTCAGCCTGAGTAGTTTCATTATGAACACTCATTGCCATTTCTTAGTGCGCATTATCGGCTTTATTTTTTCGTTACCCATTATCCAGCTCACTATGTTGTTCATCCCCAAGGTAATAAAACCCAAAAAAGCTCAAACCACTTAGGATGAGGCGACTCCATCTCTTCTCCATATGCATGTTGACTACCGGACTGCATTCAGCAGAGCGAAAAGATGCAAACGGAGAACTGCTTATATTTTTTCTTCCATTTATTCTAGACCCCCGGTTCATGTTAGTAATCTTCTTTCTATACTTCTAAGCTTAATTGACAGCACCTTTAGTAGTCGCTTCTGTGACTGTTTCGTTGTCAAAAATCTCTTTCTCGGGTCAGTTTCTGGTTTCCTTAGTGGCACTCAGCACTTTTGCCCTTAGACATACATTTCGACAAGCTTATCTGCTACCACCGAAGTTGATGCTTGCTACGTGTCGAAACTAGAATCCAGGGTCCAGAAAATGTGAAGTGTCTTTGATCTTGGAAGTTTAGATGTGACAGACCTAGAGCAGATTCGGTAACCTATACAATCACTCCCGATCTGGACTTGCTCACTGCCTTGTGGGTCAGACTGTTGTATGAAAGGCTAGAAGTGAGGCTCAGACGAAACCCCTTCTGGGAATGGGCAGCCAAATTGTCATATGCCTTAGGTACTTCATCGCCAGTAGCACCTTTTTCCTTACCTTTCTGTTGTGGCCTTCCACGACCTCAGTACACAAATGCTCGACTCAAAACAGAAGTCGAACGACGTTGCATAGGAACGCTTTCTTTCGAGAAGACAATACTACATGCAAAAGGTACAATTTCGTCGGCTTATAAAGGCCTTCTGCCAAATAATCTTAAAACAATAAATGTGGCAAAATGTCATTGGTTAAACCAAAGCCACGACCATGTGACAAAGCATTCATCTTCCAGCTGGATCGCTGGAAGGCGTATCCGACTGATTTCGTTAGGGTCTGCATCGCCTAATGTTTTCCACTTTTGAATGATTCACGTAGGTTTTCAGCTTGGGGTTCACCTGAATCGGAATCACTGTCTTCCGGCGTTGATCCATCCATCTTCTTAGTGCTAATCGGTATAGGTGTAAGAAGTGCAGTCTCTTGTTCAGGTTTGGAGTCTTCTGGGCTGATGCGGAATGTGTCGAGGAGTACGTTTAACAGCAAAATGCCGCGCATTGGCGATGCATCCGGAAAGGAACGGGTTTGCAGCTGATTGGCGTACCGGACCCAAACCTCAGAATTAACAGCAGCGACATACGTGACAGTTCGAGTTCGACGAATGATATGTCCTGGAGTCCAGTTAGCCTGGTTGTTGCGGTAGTTCTTTGCCAGCACAGATTGCTCTTTGAAGAAAAGTGGGTTCCGAGCACCGTGTTTCCTGTTAAGCTGCTGTTCCATTTTGCGGCTCCATTTCGGGCTGTTCATGTTCGCAGGTTTAAGAAAATCAAGGCTTGATCACAATTTCCGTTGCATCAGTGCTTCCGCTGGAGATTTACCTTGAGGCACCCGCGGATTTGGGTTTATCCTGTAGGCCGTCAGACCCCCTTTCGCTTACAGTAATGCTCTCTTAAAGGTGTTCACGAATCACTCTGCAAGGTATTTCGACCGTGGATAGTATGGAGATGACCTCATGTGGCTTATACCGTTTTTGTTGCAGCAGTCTTCGAAAACCACTAAAGTGGACTGAGTTCCGTTCTCAATCACTAATATGTCGGGATACCTGAACCGATTGCAAACCTGACGGAATGCATTGATAGTCGCTGAAGCAGTAGTCGCAGACATGTGCAGAACTTCTGGTTACTTACTGTAGGTTTTAACATAGATATGGAAATTGTTTCTTTTAATCGGTCCTCTTTAATCGGCTTGAAGCCTTGACCATGGTTTCCCAGGGTCCGACCAACAATGGAGCTCTATTCTTTGGCAACTTTGAAGCAAGTGCACATTTGGAGCAGGAGCGGTCAAGCTCATCTGCTTGAGCGTCAAGAGGAGGTCAGTACACGTAACTACTGGCCGATGTCTCTATGGTTTATTTCTGGCTGTCCGATGTGATATTGCTTCAAAACCCTCGGTTAAAATTTCTTAGGAACTGCCACTCGTTCTGCAAAGACCAGACAGCCGTCGACTATTTGCTGGGAATTGGGATGTTGATGAAACTACTTCAATTCATTGTCTTCAATCTTTTGTGTCCGCTTTGGTTTGTGCAAGAAGACCACTTGCTGCAGCAAGGGTCATGTGCTGTTGCGACACGTATTTGACAGGCTGTTACTGGGATAGTTTTGATTGCATCTGTGACAACGCAACGAACTTCAGGCTCGATCGAGATGCCTGCCACTGCGACGTCCTCTAGCTTTTGTCGAGTTTTGTTCATGAAGCATGCTAGGGCACCAGCCTGACCAATGTTCCAACTCGATTGGTACTTCTCTCTACACCTTTTCAATTCTGCTTCCGTCAGTTGCCTGCACCGGTCCCGCTTAAAGCTGTATCGCGTGCGTCATGTGACACGTTGCACGTGTGCACGCGTGTGAGCCAATCCCGTGGACAACGTGACCGCGATGTGAGGTCACGTGGTCTGCTTGCCATCGACTGCACCGAAACAGTGACTAACGTAGGGTGAATTTAACCATAGACGCCAATCTGTGTGGAACGGTGCACTTGGGACAGCAACTTTACTCCGAATGTCACAAAAATGCACTCGTACGCGCCACCCGGTAAAGAACATAACACTTAAAACTTATGAAGTGGGACACGACTGGAAGCACATGCATACTGCAAACATACTAAACGTATAGCTGATTTGAAAAGCGCGGTAAGAAGATGAAGACTGGCAAATGCAAGCATTTCGTATTGTCTCATCAGTGCCTTTAACAATAACTCGCGATAATATTTATTCAGTGAAGGGTGCGACCAAACATACATACAAACAGACAAATAGACCAACACGTGATAAGTGAGACAGGGTTATCACCCCTATCCCCAGGGCAGTCTAATGCTGACCGATAATTGTTTCTGAACACAGCATCGGCTAAATCCGGTTAATTGCAATCGCCTCTGCGAAACGGAGGAGGCGAGAATTGGTGTGTTGTAATAGGATTGTGAACGGCGAATTGACCTTGACGCGGTGACCTGTGGTCAATAGGTGTCGGCCGATCGAAGAGGCTGGTGGCTTACGCAGACAAGCACCTTGACTCTGGCCAGTTTCCTGCGCGGTCGAATGTTGAACCCACTTAGGTATATGCTCCTTCATTTGGGAACTCAATGTTCTATCGGTCCTGCCTATGTAACTGGCGCCGCAGTCACAAACGAATTGATAAACGCAATGCGATTTGGCCCCGATAGACTGAGTCTCCTTTACAGAAGGAAGTGGCAGTTTTTGGATTTTGTTAATGACAGCGACCTTTGCGGCATAGTAAGTTGTCTGCATGGCACAGATCAGACGCCTTGTGGTCCTCAACGAGAAGACGTCACCTTTGAATGGCAGTTCAATGATTACAGGCTTCTTAGGTACCGTGTGAACTAGGTCCCTTGGTCGTACTTGACTATGTTTCTCGATGAACCTTCGGGGGTAGCCGTTTTCGATGAGCGTGTTGGTAATCAGCTGCAGTTCGTCAGCCAGACAATCAGCAGAGCAGATTCGTCTGGCACGGCTAATCAGGGTTCTCACGAGTGTCCGCTTGTATCGAATTGGTTTGAAGCTAGTGAAATGCAAATACTGCCTGGACCATGTTGATTTCCTGTAGACAGACCTCTTAATCTGCCCGTTTTCTCTGCGGCTGATGAGGATATCCAAGTACGGAAGGCAGTTTTGCTTCTCTACCTTACAGGTGACCCGCAAGTTATAATGCGCAGAATTTAATTTAATTTAGAGGGTCGCCTGTACCGGGAGCCCAGAAAGCGATTCGAGAGGACGGATCGAGTTGCAGGGAAACTTTTATTGGTACAGTAAATGATTCCGTGTTATCTAGCTATAACAGAACGACACCGTGGACGCTCTAGCTAGGGGGATGGAGCAAGCACAGCACACAGCGCAGTTGCGAGTTGCAACCGAAGCGAGCGCCAAGCAAAAATGGCGATGAGCAAGTCAAGCATTCAAATTCAGCAATCAGTTCAACAAACCACACCGGTTGCCTAGGTGTACCATGAAATAATTTTAGTTAGAATTTTATACAGGCAAACCGGGGAATCACCATAGCCCTCTCCCAGAAGGGACTGTGTAAGCAGTCCTTCGATCTACGTGAGGGCTGTCCGTCGCGGGCCAGCCTTCTGCGAGACCAGGTTGTGAAACCTGATGCAACTGCTGGGGAAGAACCACGCAATCGGACCCTAGCGAGCTCCCACTCGTGTCCTCCCTACGGTGTCGAAACGGTAAAAAAAACTTCGTGGGGGCAGTAAGTAAAGTTCACGTAGGCGGTTGAACAGGAAGTTCGTTCCACTTTCAGTTGACGTGCGGGGATCCAGCGAAAAGTGGAACCGAGGTGCAACCAACCGACGGTGTATATGGAAAGCAAAATGTAAAAGCAGCATAAGTGCATAGCAATACACAAAAGAGGGCAAAGCAAAAAACGTGCGAACCTGTTTTTGGGTTTTCAAAAGCTTTTGCTTTTTTGGCAGTTTCAAAACGTTTTGATCCTTTTTTTGTGAATTTTCATAAGAGCAGAAAATTTCCAAGGCGCGTTCTATGTAAAATAATGAGCGCTAACGAAGTCTGAAAAACGAACTTGGGTCTTGAACTTCCTACCGCGTCGATTGATAGTAGGGCGAGTAGGAGTGCTGTCGTTTGAGGTTGTCGGTTCTGCTGGAGCGGACTGACTCCTCTGAAGTTGCGGTGCGTGCTCTGATGGCGCAGGCTGCGAAGGTGCTTGCTGCACCGATGAGTCAGACT